TATTTGGAATTCTGCACACTGCTACAGTGAATTCTGTACTGAAGCTGAAATCACTAACAGCCAGTAAGACTGCCATCAACCATGTGATTTGATTCTGGCTTGTGTAGGGATTTTAGGTAATAGACACAGATTTTGCTACAGGTGCCATGCCTGACCATTTGTAACTTAATGACCAAGGAGGGCTGATGAGCAGCCATAGTGGCAATCATTGCTACAAGGGAAGGGGGAAAGAGTGAGGACAGACAGTGGTGAGGGGAGAGCAGAGCTTGGAAGCACTAATACCATCAATATTAATGCAGGTCACAATGTGAGCTCAGTGCCAGGAAGCCTGGTGAAGTAGGCACCCATGAGAGGCTAATAGCCACATCCGATCATCAAAGGGCAGATGTTAAATGTGATTCAGATGAAAAGTGAGAGGAAGTGCTGACAAGGGCACAGCTGAAGAGATGGCAGACACAGAGGGTGGAAATTGCGGCACAAGTGTCATCTTGGAGAAAAGCAGAGTACTGGGGGCAGGGGGCTTGTTTATTCCTCAAAATCCACGATTTTAGCTTATCTCAAGCCAGGGGCAAGTAGAACAAAATAACAAATATTTAAACATATTCACCAGCTCCAATAATTAGACAAAAAGTCTAAGCAAGTGGTTTCTTCCAAAGGAAATCTTATGACATTATGATAAGTGTAAGTTTCTCCAAAAAGATCTTTACTGAGTGAAGAATAGAGTGAACAAAAACTATTCAGTGCTGCCATTCTTTATTTCTTTTGTTTGTATCCACATATCTATAGGTGGTTTTACAGGGTGCCAGTTCCCATCTCCTTTGAGCATTTGTGTTTTGTTGCTAAGGAATGCTGATGAGCCTAGCAGGAACTTCTTATTGGTGACTGCTGAAGCAGGAATTGTAAATCTGTGAGCTGTAGATTCACAGTGCTTCAACCAATTTACCTATTTACACAAAAAAATCCCCATTTCAAAGAATGTAAGAGTATGTAATAGTGTGCTTGAAAGCATAAAAGTGTATTTAACTTTGACCTTCTCCATCACTACACTTCCACTGCAGCTAACATCACTACTCAGTAATGTTGCTGTAACTAGTACAAATCATTCTCCCAGGCAAAGAAAGGTCTTTAGATAACTGATGTGTAGTTGTAGCTGCTAGTGAATGTCTACCAGAGGCAAGTCATGTTAGAAGCAAAAGTGAAATGACCATCTCAGTTATTCACGACCTAATAGCCACCAGCTAAATCACCCTTCATATTGGAGGGAACTGTACTGGGACTGAGAATAAAAAGTTATGAAGGTACGGCTTACAGTAATGCTTAGTATTAGAATAACTGCGCTTACTTTGTATAGCTGGATATATCTCACATTTAGTTGAGTTAAATAAGAAGAGAGGAGATGTGTAAGGCAGAAAAGTAAGGAACTGAGCAAGTACAAGATGATGGAATGCAGAAGGTTAAAAAGGACATTAAATTAGAAGTAATGAAAGTACAGACATGGGTCTTTCATACACGATATGTCTGTAGATAAAACAAGAAGAGAAATACTGAAACCTAGGGGAGGAAGAACAAGATTCCGGTAGCTTAAGAGCCTAGTATTGTCCTCAGTCAATCTTGTCAACCTCTGTTCCCTACGAATCTCACAAGAGCCTCCAATTTAGTCAGATCAGTTACCTCACGTGAATGTGATCTGCATTCCCACCTAGAATGGTGGCTAGAATATTCTAAGATGTCAACAAGTATTTGCTGAGTTAAAGAAAGAATGGAACTTGAAAAGGGGTTTTTCCATTCCCATACTTACATCTTTGTTTCTATTTTAACCTCTTAAGCTGCCCTCCTTGAATCTTCTACAAATGATTCAATCCCTCCTAAAATTCTCACTTCTTTTTAGATCTATTTGGGCAATTTTAGCCCCAAATAATTTACCTTATGAAATTACAATGTTTATTTTTGATTCTACTAATGTAACTAATTATATGATGTATTATGACATATTTTACATAGTTATTTTATAGTGTATATATTTATTTTTATGCATGTGTACGTGTGTGTGTTTCTATGCAATGCCATGGTAAGTTTCTTGAGAGTCAGGAGCTCATTGGTATACAATGTTACATCTCTTTAATGCCCAGCATAATATCATATCATGATATGGGTTCGATAATTATTGAAGGGATCATTCAGAAGTCGTTGAAGGAATGGGAGAATTACAGGAAAAGAGCTGAATGAAGCCAGGTCTTAGAGTCTTTTTCACCTACTATTTTAGGAAATTAGAAAAAGTGATCATTGAGTAATTTTTCCTTCAAAATAAGTTAGAACAGGAAAGGTTGATGATAACATAACTACAGATTTGCTTAGCCAAGCATTTGCAATGGTTCTTCCCTATGGTAAGAGAAAACTTTTTCCAAAATTGGTACTATGAGCAATAAGGTAAATTAAACAATAACACAACACTTCCAAGTATTATTTTTGCTTGAAGCATCACAATATGTAAAAGAATAATGAAAACAATCTTACAAATTGTGCTTTTATTATTTATGTCCATTTCATGAGACATAATGCATGCATTACATCTCTACCCACCAAATGAACTTAAAAGATTGGTTGCTTATAAATGAACAAGGACAAAAAAAAGGCGGAAAAGAGAGTAATAGCAGAGTCTCTCTCAACAACATCTTGAGACTCGATAAGCAGTGGATTCAGTAGAAGAGAGAGAATTGGAACATAAATGCCTACTAAAAGGGATAATTATAAGAAACAAGCTGAGTCACTTTTTGGGGAATAGGAGCCTCCCAGGGGTTGGAAAACCCACTGAAGAAGATGACGGAGATAATTTTAGATTATGTAGCTTGGTTTAAACTCTGTGGAACAGTTTGACTTCTGGTCTCCGTGCTGAAAACCAGTGGCAGTTTAGGCCAATCTCTTCTCCAACCGCATAGGACATCTGAGTTTTTCTTCCGGAGAAATTTGGTCTGAACTTGGGAATACCAGACTGATGCAGGGGGATACAGGGTCATCTCTACGGTATTATAACAAACTGAAAAGTATCAGCCATAACATTTATTAACCAAGTCAGATTAACTCCTCAGCACCTATTGCTAGGCCACCAAAAGGCTGGCTCATTGCCTTTTTACGTTGCGGGATATTTATCAGATCCCAAACCCAGGCCACAACAATCTGAGCTTGCAAGAAGTGATTAAATGGTTTTCCTTGAAATATAAATGAAGAGCAATGATCACTACACATTCGGGAAGAGAACTAACATTAAAGAGAGGGATGAAAACAATAAAGGAATGAAAAAAGAGGAAACGGGTTAAAAATGAGAAAAGAGGATTAAGAGAGAATTAAAAAACCTTTTTTTTAAAGTCTCAGAGATTACAGTAGATATTGCAGCCATAGAATAAGAACAGTATGCTATTCTGTGTAAAGAAGTACTCAGAAAACATGAAAAAAGTTATATATAACAAGACAGATCTATATCTAATAAGATAGATGTGTATATATAATGATCTAAATAAGATAACACATATACATAACATTATATTTGCATATGTAACAAGATATGTATGTATGTATATATGTATATACACATAGAGAGAGAGATAAAGTATAATATCAGTCAAAGAAATTTCTCGTAAGGTATAATAAGAGAATTCAAAGTATAAATAACAGGAGAGAGAAAATATTTCTTAAAATAGATACTACAACTGAGGAACATCCAATCACAAAGATGTCTAGGAAGAAAAGACCAAAAGAGAGAATTCATTGAAGAAACAATATGATAAAATTTCTCCAAACTAAAGTATAGGAGTCTCCAAATTAAAAGAGCTCATAGAGGGGCCCCCCCCAAAAAAATTATTATTAATATAATGACCCATATATATGCATATCACAGTGAATTAAATCTGAGAATATACCAGTAATAAAGTAACCTGAGGAAGAATGGAAACAAAATAATATGAAATAAAAATAAATAAACAGAAATGTAGGAAACAAGAAACAAAAAACACGATGAAGAGCATCCCAGGATAACAACTGTTCAACAGAGAGTGACCAGTTTAACTTGAAAGAGGATGGAATATAGGGTTTCAAGAAAAAGGTCCCCCTTTCTTTTAATTAGTAAAACATTTTAAAATGAACTGTTAGTTTAAACTGTATCTGTGTATTCAGGAAAATTTCAATAGGATTTTGATGGCTGTGATGAAAAAGAAAAATGCTCTGAGAGATATATAGAAAGCATTAGAACATGAAAAATAAAGAAAATTATAAAAAATATATGAGAAATAAATAAAATGAAGGGCAATATACTCCTTAGATGAATAGTAAATAGTATCCTAATGAAAACTATATATATTGACTCAAAAAAAAGTAATTATATAATGAAGATCGGAAAACAAAAACGGGGGATATGAAGAATATAGGAAATCTAAAACTTAAATATAAAAGCAAAATATAAAAACAGAAATTATTTAAAATTAAAAATGACATGACGTGATAGTATGCTCACATTATTTAGACATAATGGAGTTATTGCAAGCAAATATGTTAATATGGTATAAATTTATGTCTTCTGGGGAATAAGACAAATGTGAGGAGGTATTGGAACAGGAACTGCTTCTTTTCTTTTTAAGGCTTGCAGGATTTTTTTTAATCTAACTAATAAATTGATAAAATAAACATAAAACCATGAAAAAATCTTCTTTCAACTATAATTTTGATATTCTCATAAGATGTTCCTTAAGTACAAGTATTCATTTCATCAAACTAACTTCCAGAGAAGATGGTATATTGAACACCTACAATCAATCTCTGAATTACAGTAGTTCCCTCTTATCCAAGGGGGATATGTTCCAAGACCCCCACTGGATGCCTGAAACTGTGATAGTACTGACCTCTATATATACTGTTTTTTCCTACACATACACACCCATGATAAAGTTGAATTTATAAATTAGGCACAGTAAGAGATTAATGCCAATAACTTCTCTTCGGCATATCCAAATTGCCAGCATCACTACTCTTGCACTTTGGGGCCGTTATTAAGTAAAATAAAGGTTACCTGAGCACAAGCACTGCTATACCACAACAGTTGATCTGATAATCCAGAAGGCTGCTAAGTGACTAAGGGACGGGTAGTGGTAGCGTATATAGCGTGGACACACTGGACAAAGGGATGAGTCATGTCCTGGGCAGGACAGAGTGGATGGCACGAAATCTCATCCCAATACCCAGAACGGTGTGCATTTTAAAACTTATAAATTGTTTGTTTCTGTAGTTTTCCATTTAATATCTTCTGACCGAGGTTGATCGTGGATAACTGAAACCATGGAAAGCAAAACTCAGAAAGGGGAAACTATTGTATACCAAAATGACAATAAATGAATTAATAAAGACGATAAAATGAGGGCAAAAAAAAATAGAAGAGACAAAAAGATATTAAAAAGGAAACAAAGAAAGCTTGAAGTGAATGACAACTGACTCAACACCCAAGGAAGGAAGGATCCAAGCTGTTGGTGGGAGAAGTCAATAAGCAAGCCAATTAATCCAGGCATTGATGGAATCGAGGGTTTTTGAAAGAGGATAGGATTGAAAAGCAGAGGGATATTTAAAAAAAATTAAAGTAGAAGGATTAATACAAAAAGAGAGACAGAGAGAGAAAGAAAGAAAAGATGTAAAGAAACAGTGATTATCTATAGAGTGAGGGAGGAAAAAGACTGGAACAGACACATAGGGATAGAAAGTAGACTTCTTTCATTTTACTTTGTTTTGTAGATTCGACTTTGACTTCATGTAAATAATTATAAAACAAAACCAATTTTCATATAAATACAAAAAATAAAGAGGAGAATTAAACAAACGAATCTAAGTGTGTTTCAGATGGGACATAACCACAAAGAGGAACTAAGTGATTTGTCAAAAACAGTCATTTGATGGTAGGTCACTAGTGGAACACCTATTAATACACCTTGTCTTACTAGAAAACAAAGAAGTTATCAATTACTCTCAAGGGCCTGTCAAAAAAACCTGAGGAGTCAATTGAAGAAAACACTGTTTGCCAATGATCAGGTAATTTTGAACATCAATCAGAATTACAACTAGAATGAATTAAAACACATTAAATATGTGTAATGATATGTTTTCATAAATAATACCGAACAACAACAACAAAGAGAACAAAACATCCTCTTTGCTTAACCTAGGAGGATGTTTGGGAGTCAACACATCATTTTGAAAATGGATAAATACAGGAGAATAAAACATTTATCTCTCCTTTCCTCTATGAACTATACCTCCATGTTAACAAATAGTTCATGATGGGAAATTTTTTTAGTGGAAATATTACAGTTAAATAATGAAAAAGACACAACTAAGATATTACCGAGAAGAAGAGAATATGTTAAAAACCATAGGGATTGAATCATAAAAATCCAAACTGTTGGAAACTTTAGGATAAGGATAAACAAAACAATTTCCTCAACAAATAAGGTGACAAGAAAAAAAGAAGATGGAACACATTGAGAAACATAAGATTCTTGATGAAAATATCAACCTAGAGCATAGTTGGATTATAAGTCAAACACACACACATACACACAAACAAAATCTGGGAAATGAGTCCTTGATTGTATAAAGACTTGTTGCAAATTTTTAGGTTGTTGTGTTGGGGTTTCCAATACCACCCCCCAGACTTGATTTGCTAGAAGGACTCACAAGACTCGAAAAAGCTGCTATACTCTTAATTATGATTCAGTACAATGAAAAGATACAGATTAAAACCAGCAAATGGAAAAGACTTGTGGGACAAAGTTCTGGAGAAAGCAAGAAACACACTTTGAGGTGTCTTCTCCGTGTGGAAGCATATGGACACACTTGATTCTCCCAGCAGTGATGTAGGACAGCATATGTGAAGTGTTGTCAGCAAGGGGATCCTACCTGAGCCTTGTGTCCAGGGTTTTTATGGGAGGTCAATCAGGTAGACATGTAGTGCCTGTGTGACTAACTTCAACTATGCAGACTCCATCCTCCCAGCACAAAACAGGTCACATTCTTAGCATAAACTATCTGATCAAACTGAATCTGAGTGGCCCAAAGCCTCAGACATGCAAAAACACTTTTATTAAGAAGAATATGCCAAGGGCTCAGAGTTCATCTCCCAGGAGCCGGCAAAGGGCCAGTCCTGAGGGCAGACTTTTCTTGAGAATGTGCAGCATTTGAGCAACCCAGGCCTAAGGAGTTAACGCTTTCCTGCATAATTGTGATAATGCTATTTTGGTTATGTTAACAAAGAATCTTTATCTTTTAGAGTTGTTCATATCCAAATATTTAAAACTAAAATCTTGTGATGCCTGAGATTTGCTTCTATATTATGTAATGGGGAAAAGGAAATGCATCAGATTATTGATGAAACAAGATTGATCATGAGTTGATAATTGCTGAAGCTATATATTTGGGGGCTATTATGTTAGTCTCTCTATTGTAAATTTGCAATTTTCCATAATTATTTTTAAATAAACATAAAAAGCAGTTAACCCCACAGCATTCCTCTTGGTGTAGCTACGTGTCTCTCCTCTTCTCAAATTAAATAGAAGAATGGAGGTTTAATATCTTATAGAATAGGCTAATGGGATCCAGAACTAGGAAATAGCACACAAGGATGGAGATACCACATTGAAAGAGGAAAATTTCTAAAAGCCTAATACATGACATTAAAATCCAACACTTGATTAATTGGCACTCCTCCCAAATTGAATAGATAAACAAGGAAATTATCAAGGATAATAATTTCAGAACATTTTCCAGATCTGAAAGATGTGTGGCATATGTTGCCTCCAAAATCCTAAAAGGATCACAAGCATGAAACTCTCTTTTAGTGGCTTCTTGTGCAAGATGTAGTAACTTGTTTTTCACCTTAAGGAAATATGTCAACACGTTCTAGACAATTAGACCCCAAGAAACTTCATCAAGGTGGGTGGGCCTCTGAATTTTTGTGGAGATATACTGTGAGACTATGTAAATAACCTGTTCCTCTTTGATATCTCCTCAACTGGATTTAGTATTTATTGATGATTCTTGCCTGAATAGATTATTACGATGACAGTTGAGAAGTAATGATATTCTAGGGCCTTCATGCCTTCTATATTTATTAGTTAGCATTCCACTTATGGCAGAAACTTTCTTTCTTCTCCATATTTTTTAATTTATTAAATTTATTTATTTATATAAGTATGGATTGTATCAGTAATCTATTATTGCTTGTTTTGATGTTCAAATTGTCCCAGATTAGGAGGTAGGAGTACCTTCGAGATGCCTCCTTTGTTGTTTTGAGGTCTCTGCATCATTCTTTCAGCAGTTTCTTAACAAAAATTCATCTTGAACTTTCTCTCCTAAAGTACTGAAATCAGCCATTTCTCTAAGGAGCTTTGATTCCTTTTAGTGGAAAATCGTATTTAGAAACCAAGATCTGGGTTATTTCTTCTAGATACTTGCAATGGCCAGAGCTAAGATATATATGTAGGCATAACACACACACGTACCCAAGCATTTCCACACACACACACACACATATCTACCTATTTTTTTGTCTATCATCTATTTAAAACTATGAGTTTACATCAATATCTCCTAATTCAATCTAGTAATACAAGGTTTCTGTCTTCTCATATTTCTGTACCCTTTCTCCAACAATGAGAAATCTGTCACTTATTGTCCTCAATATGTTCACTAATTTTCTCATAAATATCTCCTGACAAGGTGGGCTGCTTTGCAGGACCTATACCGACAGGCCCTGTCCATGCAAGTTGTTTTCTTGGCTCTGAGGCCACTAAACGTGCTGGTTGAGTTTTCTCAATTCACTCTGCCCCTCTGATGCCACCAGTCAGAATAGCCACACTGATGGAGAATTAGCAAGACACCCACCCAGGGAAAGGGTGGGTGAATTCATTTGTTGAACTCCTATGCTTAACATCAACCAGATAACCATAGTGGAACAAAAACTGAAATACTTTGATCCACAATTTAGATTATATACTAGTGTTCTGTATTTTTTCAAACATAAAAATTATAGAGAAAAAGGTTTTGAATGACAAATCATATTTTAAAAATATTCTCTAATATCTTAGTTCAAGAGGAAGAAGAAGGGGAAAAAGAAGAAATCTATACTTTTCCATGTAGCTTTCCTACAAATATTTAAATAATATACAGTTTGAATTTCACAAGGTCAGCTGGATGTTTACAACAAGGTAGAAGTCAAGAACGGGAACGTAACGTGACTCATTTTATTGGAAGAGAGATGCTTGTGTATTTTTTTTTTAACTATTTGTCTTTAGACTTTGTTTTCTCTCACCATTTGGTTTTCTGAGATAACACTATCATTTCTTCCCCCAAATTACAGTAACTTCAGGGTAATAGTTCTTACCACTTCTCTCAGGTTTTGTTATGATGCGCTTAGAGTAAGGCCTTTTATCTGAGCATTTCAAAGCCTTTATGGAACAAATCACCTTTGGTCATTTCCACTGTCACCTTCATTCAAGCTTCATTTTACACATTCCCTCACCAAACTCATAAAATACCATTTTGTTAATAGATTGCACGTCAGCTTCCAAAGAGGTAAATGCAAGGTTTACCTAGTTACCAATTCAGTGTTGATCTTTGAACTTTAAACATAGCAAGAAAAACATTCTAATTTTATGGGTAGGAGCAGTTTAAAATATCTTCAACAAGTATTCCCAAATATAGACTTTTTTCTCTGCCTAAAACTTCGCCTGCCTTCCCTACTTCCTTGCCTTCCTCAATGAAATATATACTTAATTTGAAAAGCACAAATAAAATAAATATCTTTTGGCTTTAAAAAGAAATTAAAAGCAGCAGAGCGTGCTACCATAGTCTTAAGGTTCTGTCTATGCTTAAAAATATGTGTGGTAGGGCAGATTATTTTTGCAACTAAAATTTAAACCAAGTTCATAGTCCTGGATTTTCTCAAGTTTTATACATTTTCTTACACCCAAGTGTCATCCATATGTTAGCACAAATATGTAATTATTCAAGATTAAGCTATCTGATATTTGGTCATTGTGGCAGAGTGAAGTGGTTGTTCAAATCCTCTCAAAAACAATGATTATAAGAACTGGGTTAATTTTGAAAACTAACTACTTAAAGGAATGGAAAGTATTTGAAAGATCACAGAAGCCAGAGGAGTGTTTACTCTTGAAAAGTTACAAATAGAAATCTGTGAAGGTCAGAATATTAGAATAGTGTATTCAAATCATGAAAAAAAAAAAAGAACTGTTAACTGAGAATTCTATATTTGGCAAATTTCAGATGAATAAAAACTGAGAGAATCTGGAGCCAGCAGACAGGCCCTATAAGAAGTGTTAAAAGTACAGTGTGACACCAGAAGACAATCCGGATTTCAGAAAGCAGTGATGAACACCGGAAATGGCAAGTATATGGATAAACATAATATTTTGTTAATCAAATGTTTACCTTTTCTTTTCTTAACTTACTTTAAAGAAAATTTTCTATTGAAAGTAAAATTATAATATACTATTGAAAAATTAATAACATGACAATGATGATATAAAGTACAGGGTTGAGTAGTAAATGGAAACACACTGCTTTAAAGCTTCTATATTTTACTAGAAGTAATTCAGTATTAACTCTAAGTAGATTGGGGTAAGTTAGAGAAACATACTTTAATTCCTGGACCTTTAAAATATATACTTTAATTCCAACTCTTAAAAATAGTGCAAACAAATATAGCTAGAATGCAAAAAGAGAAAGTGACATGGAATACTAAAGAAACATCTGATTAACAGAAAATAAGGCAAGAAAGAAGAGAAAGAGAAACAAAAAAAGAAAAAGAAAATGGAAAACAGAACAAAATGGCATATGGAACAATATTTCTATTAAATATAAATAGACTAAACACCTCTTATGACTTTGTTACACTAATACTTGTTAAGTGGAGCACAGAGTGCCAGATGGTGAGGCAAAATTCAACAATAGACCACAAAAGAAATTGAAATAGAGAAGTTTATTACTGACAAGTCCTGGAGAAAGTGCAGGGCACACCTGGAGGGGTCACACGGGAAAGTGAAGGTAGAGTCCAAACAGAGAAGGGCAGAACCTGGGACACAGACTTTTATTAGGGTCTGTAGGTAGAGTGCTTTGGGGTTCTGAGGCTAGGGCTGGATTGGTCAATTTAATCCAAAAGAGTGGGGGTTTGGTCAGCCCTAGGGGCATCTTATCTAGGACGCACATAGGCATACTGGTGCTGGGAAGCAGAGGAGACTGTTTATCACAAGGGTCACTGGGGAAATCATATCAGGAACTTACATTTTTGCTTGTGACTCTGTGGCTGCTATCTAGGGCATGTGCTTGTATGAAGGGCTAGTGTCAGGCCACTTGGCCAAACAAATGGATGCCAAGGCAGCAATACCATGGAGTACTTAGCTAAACTCTCAACAACACTCATCAAAACACAGTGATTTTTAGGCTGCTTACAAAAGCAAGAGTCAACTGTATTTGTATAAAAGAGATATTTTTGAAATATAAAACCCAAATAGATGGAAGTAACAGCATGAAAAAAGATATGCTATATAGACAGCAAGCTGAAGAAAGTTGGAGGGGTCATATCTATATCAGGGAAAAATAGACTAAAGGCAAGGAGAATTACTAAAAACAAACAGGAACACTTAATAGTGATGAAAATGACAATAAATCAGGAAAATACATTAAAAATGTATATGCACCTAATAATATATTCAGAACTGAAGAAGGAAATCAATATGAATACATCTTTCTTCTATTTCCTAGAAAAACAAGCCAAAATAATAATTGCAATAAAGATGTAGGAGATCTAAACAACACTATTAACCATCTTTTAATCTACTGACATTTATAAAAGACTATATACCCAAACTACTGAATACACATATGTTAGAAAAGAAAGTACCAAATTCAATTATTTAAGCTCCCTTTATAGGAAGCTAGAAAAAGAGAAAATTAAGCGTTACGTAAGTGGAAGAATAAAGATAAAGATGAAAAAATAAAATGTACAGAAAAATAAAAAATAAATTCAAATGGTAATTCTTTAGAAAGATCAAGAAAGGCCATCACATATGCAAAAAATGCTCATCATAGTTAGTCATTGGAGAAAAGAACCTTTAAACCATAATGAGATACTTCTATGTAGCCATTAGAATGGCTAAAATAAAGAAGACTTATGATACTGTTAGAGAGAAGATAGAACAGTTGGAACTCTCATACACTGATGAATATTAAAAATATTATACTGTGTGTAAGAAGTCAGAGATAAAAGACTACATGCTACACAATTCCCTGTATATGAAATTAAAAAAAAAAATGCAAACTTTTAATACTGATGGAAAGCCAACCAGTGATTCCCTGGAGGCTAGGGGCAGAGAGAGGGATTAACTACAAAGGGCAGTGGGAAACTTTTGCTCGAGATGGAAATGTTCTGTATTGTGATTGTGGCTGGGGTTGTGTAGTTGTGTATGTCTATCCAACTCAATGAATTCTACACTTTACATGGTGCAGTTTATTATACATCACTTATACCTCAATACAGTTTGTTTCAAAAATAAGTGGAAAATAAAGAAAATAAAATGATTAAATCATTTGCAGTGACAAGACTGGTTAATTTGTTCTGGAGTCAAGCCAACGCTAGTGAAATATATGTTGCTGGGGAGGAGGGTCTTCAAGGAAAAGAGAGGAAAGGAACCATCATTTATTGAGTGCCTGCTATGGGAGAGGGAATTTACCAATTTACTGGATTTCCACAATGATGCTTTAACATGGATGCTTTCCCCATTTTAAAGAATGAACAGAGGAAACTGTTCAATAAAACATTATAAGATACTAACACAGTAATAGAATAGTAAGTGTCTAGGTCGCTCAGATTTTAAAGATAATGCTCTTTGTTACATCTCCCCACTCTGCTGCTGGCTGCTCACCAGAACAGTTTGTGAAAGTGTTAATAAAAAGGCTTTAAGGACTTTACTTGCTTGTATTAGTAAAAGGCCTAGTGTAACGCAAATGGATGATAGACTACTTTAACTTCAGAAAGCAAAGAGTGAACACAGTCCTTTATTTATTTATTTTTTAATTCAATATTAAAATCTGTTGTTATTGCTGGCAGTGTTGTGCTGGTAAATGTTTAACAACAAGTTTGGTAGAAAGGGAACAAGAAACAGCTGAGTTTGTATCATCAGATGATTTCCATGTTGTGAATATTTCACATGGCCCATTTCAAGCTATAATACAAATACCGAATTGGGAAGAAATGTGCACAATTGGTTCTCCCCAGCCAGGATAAGCCAGCTCCAGTACACCACTGCTTTTAGCCTGTTTAACAAACAGGATGGATTGAGATTTGTTAGCTTTATTTTCTTTCACAGCTTTTTCATTAATAGCAGATTTCTTCAGCAGGTGTTAAAGTAAGTTTAATTTCATGGCACTCATTAATAGAATTTGAAACTCATTAGCAGGTTTGTGTTACTTACAAGAGGGAAATTTCCTGGTAACAAGTTGAGTTCAGTGCATCAACAATACAGGTGACTTCAGTCTTCAAAACACATCCCTTTATGTAATAGCACGTTTATAAAAAGGACTTCAGGCCTTCCTTGATTCATTTGTTTTTTTTTTTTTGCATGTCGTATTCCATCCTTCAGAAACTTCTAATGGCCTTACTTCTAATATGCAGCTCACCACTTCTCACCATGTTCCCTTCCACATTCACACAAGCACCTGATGGAGTATTGTAATAGCCTCCTAACCTGTCTCTCTTCTTCCACCCTTGCTCTCCTCTTGTCTATTCCAAATAAAGTCATCAACATGATACTTATAACATCTAAACCTGATCTTAATAATGCTTAGCTCAAACCTCTTTGATAGTCCTGCATCATATCCATGGTTGAAGGCAAAGTCCTCATGGCGAGGGTGACCTTCATAATAGGCACAACCATCTCCCCTCTAACTTCATCTGCTGTTACTCGTCCTTCTCACTTCTGCAGCCACTCTTTTCCCTGGTGCCCATGACACTCTCTGCCTTAGGCTGGTTCCTCTGTCTGCAACTCTCTTCTTGTAGATTTCCATGGAATTTACACCTTCATTTTTTTCATGTCTTTGTTCAAATCACCTTCTCAGTGAGGTCTTTCTCTCTACCCTCTTTAACATTGCACTACCAATCTATTCCTAGCCTGGCCCTGCTCTCTGCACTCCCCATCTTCCTTTTCTCTTTTATTTTTTCCACCACACATATGGCCTTCTAATAACTATGAAATGTACTCATTTATTTTATTAACCCTGTCTTATTTCCTCACTGTCATGTTAGCTGAATAAGGGTAGAGATTTTTTTCTGAGTAGAATACCTAGAACTGTATCTTACAAATCATAGATGCTCAATACTATTTCTTAAATAAATGAGTGAATTTGAAATGTTAGTATTAAATTCACCATGCAGTTGGGGAAATATCTGATTATAGTCCCTGTCTTGTTTCATATTAAAGAATTGCTTTTGTGTCTAAGAAAAATTTTCCTGAAGGGAAATATTTAATAAAAACAGTTTGGCCGGGAAGAAAAAGATCTGCCCAAACCTCTACTGCTGGAAATGAAGCAGAAAAGGAATTATAAAAGTCTGAGTTAATGGCCATAGGATTTTGTATATGCTACAAATAATTGTTAAGACCTTTCTATATGCTGAGATATTCTCTGATGTAAATTAAATTTAAGGAATTATTTTACACATTCTATATGATCTACTTGTTGATGTTATCAAATTTTCTAGTGTAAAAATGTCATTTCATTAACAAATATTTCTTTAAAACCAATACACGTGGCTGTGGGTTTGAAACTTGAGATATGATAGGATACAGCACATGATTTATAAGCTTGAGAAACTTAGAAAAAGTACATGCAAATCTCGTGAAAATGAATAACATACAATATTATCTCCTAAGTGCTGAAGTTTGGAATATTGAATGGAATATTGAAAGGGAGTTTGGAATACAGGAAGCCTGGGGAGCAGAGTAAAAAGAGTTCTCATGGTGACCTGTGACATTTCAAGAAAGTTCCACAGAGCAGGAGGTGGGGGTTATAATAGCCTTTAGCAACTTCGTGTAACATGTGGCACAACCAGAGGAAAATCAGCCTTGATAAAATACTGAACTCTCAGATTTAGTCTTCTCTGAGAATTAGTACCTTGATTGATTCAGTAATAAAAGATCTCACTTATCCATTTATTATTTTCCTTAGAAGGAAATCTTTTATTTGTAACGTCATTAAGACAAGGAGGTGATCAGTTGAGAATGAATATATTCCCCCCTTCTAGGTGAGGGATATTTTCACCTTATTTTCTATAAACAATTATATAAAACAAACTTCAAGGCAGACTGAGTAATACCATAGATTTGCACAACTCCGGTTGCTTTCATTTGCATGGTGTTCCATGAAAAATGTCACCCCTTGGAGAACAACTTCATATACAGTGTGAATGGCTTCCTTGGAGGCCCTGCTACTGAGTGACGTCCTGACGGAAATGGATTTCTTCAGAATGAGTGACAACTCTTTATGGGTAGAGCTAAGTGAATAGTCTTACAGTTGTGTATCAGTCAGGGTTCATCCAGAGAACTAGGAGGAGATATATATTAAGAGATTCATTGCAAGGTATTAACTATATGATTGATTGTGGAGTCTGGTTAGGCGAGTCTGAAATCTGCAGGGCAGGCTATATGGATGTACAAGTTGAAGCTGCAGTTCCCAGGTAGAATTTCTTCTTCTTCTGGGAAGCTTCATTTCTGCTCTTAAAGCCTTTCAACTGATTGAATCATGCCCACCTACATTATCTAGGATAATCTCTTTCACTTAAAGTCAACTGATTATGAATATTAATCACATCTACAAAATACTTTCACAGCAACACCTACATTAGTGTTTGATTGATTTACTGGTGACTATAGCCTAACCAAGTTGAACTATCACAAGTATAGTCTGATCTTTCAGTCTCTCTCTTTCTCTCTCTTTCTTCTTGCTTGTGTTATCCCTTCTGATGCCCTAGTACTCAATGCTGCATTGTTGGAATTATATCTATATTTTACTAGGAACTTTATTGTCAGTTT